GTGGCCTCCTGGGGCCTTGGTTCCCCACCTGTGACCCAGGGAGACTAGCCTGGCCTGGCCTCCCTGGGGGTTGGGGGGGTAAATACGGTCCAGGTGGCGAGGTGCTCGGAGCTGCAGGAACAGGCGCCAGCTAAGTCACTCGCGCTGATATTGGGCGCTTGGCCGGCGGATCTGACGTCTCTGCTGAGCAGTGCCGTTCTCTCCCCCGGCAGACGTGAACATGGAGAACCCGGATGAGAAGTCCATCATCACCTACGTGGTCTCTTTCTACCACTACTTCTCCAAAATGAAGGCCCTCGCAGTGGAGGGGAAGAGGATTGGGAAGGTGGGTGCCTTGGGGGTGGCTGCCGGGGGGCGCTGGTCTCGCCGGTTACCTGCTGGGGACCGCAGGGGGCGCCGACCCGTTTGCAGGGTGACCGCGATTCCTCGTCGGATGTTAACAAGGGCCAGTCCCTAATCTGCAATAACGCCCTAGGTTTGGCACGGGGGTACAGGCGTGTGCAGCTCCTGGCACACGGCTGCGTCGTATCGTGGTAGAGGGTAAGGAGACAGCTGAGATTGGGACCCCCTCTTGTGCCGGGTGCCGGGCAGAGCCGAGATCGGGGCCCCGCTGTGTCCCGGAGCAGTGGGGCTGGGAGTTAACAGCACATTGAGATGGAGGGGACGGTTTGCTCACACTCGGGTCACGTTTTGAGCTTTTCTTCCCAACTGTGAGCTGGAAACCTGCTGGTGTTTAAAAGAGAGAAGGTGGGTGAGGGCGTATGTTTTATTGGACCGACGTCTGGCAGCTGAGTGCTGCTGTAGTCACATGACCCCTGGAGCCTGTAGACACGGGGTTTATGGGTTTACGTTTCCTGTGCCTCCATCTGCCCCACGCTCCCTTCCGCTGAGTTACTTTGGTTTGACCCCGAGCCTACCCAGGAGCTGCCGGTGCCCGTAATGGGCCCAGCTCCCCTCGTGCGGCCAGTTACACTAGTGCAAAGCAAGTGTGAAATGCGGCCGAGTCAGAGAGGCCCCCCCTGCATGTGGCACTAGTGCAAATGACCGTGCAGGGGGCTGGGTTGAATTGTGTCTGGAGCCCCCTGCTGGTGGTTTAATTTATGACCTGGCGAGGGTATAACGGGGTGCGAGAAGAGCCTCTAGTGGCCGGCAGGCAGGGTCTGGCCCAGCAAAGCCAGGCGGGCACAGCTCCTTCGGTTCTCGGTGGGCAGCAGGGGGCGCTCTCGGGGTGGTGCCCAGGGAAGGCTCCAGCTGCTGCGTGGCTGGGCGCCTGGGAGCAGCACTCGCTGGTCTCCCGCCCGCCCCCCAGGTGCCTTGCTGACGAGATCGCTGCTGACAGCTGGGTCCTGCCAGCTGCTCTTCTACGCCCATCTGAGCCGTTCCCAGGCTCGAGCTGCCCCTGCGCAGGGCTGCCGCGGCAAAGGACTGCGAGGCTACGGAGAGACGCTGGGGGTGGGGGACACACCACACCGCGCCCAGGCTGTCTGAACTGCCAGGGGAGCAGCGAGGCCAGCGGATACCTCCGTACAGCAGCCACTGCCAGAGCGGCAGCATGGTCAACGGGCTGTGCTGCAGGAGACTGGGTCTGCTCCCAGATCTGCCAGCCATGTTCAGGGGAGCTCCCCCCACCCAGCGACGGGCGCAGGCTCTCTGCAGACCCAGGC